TGCCTGAAGGACTTCGGAAGTTCAGCGCTTTCTTTGCGATTCCCCTCTCTTGTCGCAAGCAAATGATTCTGTTGTGTGTTCCTTTTCCTTTCACTCAAAAATCTCCTCCCCTTAAAATCTCTTCTTTCCAACCATTCTGCCAGCAGCTGCAGGTTCTCTCCTCGCCACGTGAGCCTCCTTTTCTGACTGCCAGGCCTTACCAGCTGCTTCTGCTTTCTGGCCAGTTTGCACACTCCTTGCTTCTAGGGATCCAGGTGTGGCCCCATCCACACACTTGACATGCTGGGCCCTTCGGACCTGAGGTCCCTCCTCAAACTCTTCTCTGCACATTCACTATGCACAGGTCATCTGGCATTTGGAGGAGGGGGTCTACTGGGCAAGTCTCCGCTTTCATGGGGTCCCAGCATTTCCTTGAATTACGTTTAGTCATTTTCACAAACGTTGTGAGAAGGAAGTTCTGTGAGGGAAAGGTGAGAGCGAGGGAACCCCATGGCCTGCCTCCCCCCGGCAGCAGCTCAGCCTCTTCCAGAAATCTCGGGGGGTGGGGGGTGGTGGAGGTGTGCCAAAATCTGCACTGAGTTGGCACCGGAGGCTGAGAAGTTCTGGGGTCTATAACGACGACGTAGAACCAAATTTAAACCAGTTGATTCTCCCTTCCTAGCACGGCACAACAAACAACCTGAACAAGCTTTTTTTTTTTTAGAAATTTCCTGCAGCATGCGAACTGAGCCAGCTTCGGCCTCCCTCGTATTTTTGCCACACAAGATTTTGGGCCTCTAGTGCAGTAGTCCCCTCACAACCTACCTCCCCGTGGGCTGATGTACTACGTCCACAGCCAGGTGCTGCTGAGCCACCTGGTGTCCAGCCCCCAGCCCCAGAGTCTCCTTCCCCACCAGCAGAGGAGGAGGAGCTGGGTCACAAAGGAGAGAAATGGGTGGCACACCAAGGTGCAAATCCAGGGCACAGCGAATTCTGTACTCCAAAACCCATGAGTCACAGCCGAGTGGGCAGGCACCCCCCTGCAGGTGTGGTGGGAGAAAGGAAGAAGCTGGATCAGATCAGAAAGGGAGGGGGCTTCCCATATCCAACCGGGCAGTGCAGCAGCAAACACCGTTCGCCCTCCCTGCCGAAGGCGAAGCCGCCTGGCCCCAACCTCCCTTTCCTGGCTTTTCTGTGGCGCCATTAGGCGAAGGAGACCCCGCCCTCTTTGGCCAGGGGGGGCGGGGGGAGGCCAAGGCAGAGAGCAAAAGGGCCAGACAAGCCAGCGCTGCTTCCAACCTCCTACTACTGTAGGTGCCATGCACTAAAATAGGCGTAACGCTTACCATGCTCATTAACAACCTAGAAGTCATTCCTCTGAATGAACAAGGCGGTTTTAAAAGGAAGGCGGAGGAAAGGCGACACCCACAATTGCTTCTGCTTCTGTCTGGGCGCAGCCACGGCAGCCACGGCCAGCCGACCAGGGCTCCGGCCGGCTGACAAAGCAGCGGCCGCGGGGGGAGCCAGCCGGGGAGCCAGCCTCCTTGCCACGGGGCGGCCCCGTCGGAGGCACTTGGCGTCAAGCGCTCCTATCGCCTCCTGGCTGGATAAAAGCAAAAGCAATTTTTTTAAAACCAAGGCCGCATTACGAAGCCCCCTCCCACCCTTGGAGGGAGCATTGCCAACCCGACGTGGGGAGACGAATCTCTCGGAGCTGCAGCGCAGCGCCGCCTGGCAGGACTGCCCAACGCGCAGCCCGGGAAAAGTCGGACGGCGAGAGCAGAGCGCGAAAAGCCCCGTCCGAGACGCCCCTCGGGGCTGACAAACGGGCCCTTCGGGGGAGCTCTCCGCAAGGCAGCGGGGCCTCCCCTGACCAGGAGAGCCGGGCGGGCTGGGCGCCGGGGCAGAGCCGGGGCAGGTGCGCGTGGAAGCTCCGGGGCATCTGCCGTCTGCCTGCCCAGCTTGGCTTCCCTAGTCCCTCCAGGCAGACCCCAAAGGGACCACCGGGAGAGGCCGGCCGAGGCAGCGATAGCGCCCGGCCGTCCGCGGAGAGAGAAGCGACGCGCCGGCAGCGCCGCTTCCCCGCCCGGCGGACCCGGTGCCGTCCGGGCGAACCGGCCTCGGCCCGGCGGAACGCAGCAGCGGAGGTTGCCCGCGGCGGTCNCGTCCTGTCGGCCCCGCGCCCGCCTGACGGCCGCCCGACCCTCGCGCAACGCGCCCCGGCCCCGCGCACCTCCGTCCGGCCCGCGCCGCGTCCTCTGTCGAGCGAGCGCCTCTGCCCGCCGCCCGGACCGCTCGCCTCTTCCAGGCCGCCGAGGGAGGGACCTGAGACGGGCAGCCCGCCGGGCGGGGCGGGACGAGGACGGCCGCCCGCCCTCCGCACGCGCTGCGGAGCTGCCTGCTTCTACCCGACGGAGAGGGGGCGTCGGACCCCGCACACCCGGGAATCGGGACACTCCGGGCGGAGCCGCTCCACCGCCGCCCCAGCGCCTCTGCCAAACGGTGGGGGGACGGAGGCAGGAGGGGAGGCAGCCCCCGGATCTGCTGCCGGCAAGGGGGGGGGAAGCGGGCCCGGCCGGCTCCGCGGCGCGGGGAAGCGTCTTGTGGGGGGAAGGGTTCATCTCAATAGGTTTGCCCCCCCCCCCGCCAACTGGAGCCTTCTACTGTCCAACGCCGGATTGCAGCCCCTTGTTTCTGAAAGATTCTTCCCGTTCATTTGTGTTCCCGGAAAGGAAAACGATCCCGGGAAGCCTCCTCCCCCCCAGCCCCAATCCAGGGTGCCACCTGCTGGAGGAATACCTGGGTGTCTCTTGAAATCGGACAGGTGTTTCGAGAAGGACTCTGGAATCTGCCTGCTCAAGCAAGGTGAGAAGCAGACCGAAGGCACCTGACATGCCTGGGACTGCTTTCAGGACCCCGTTGCCCTCCTTCCTAGGAGGCCCTACTCAGAGCCTGCTCCTGGGATGACAGGAAACCTGGCTGTGACTTTCAGGGTGACCTTGGGTGCCTATACCACCCTAGGCGAGGCTCTATGTATTTGATCAATTTAACAGCTCAGAGACCCACTCACTGCCACAACCAGAATGGCAGATTCTGAAGATCTGGCAAATAATGAAGCAGACCCACCTGCCCCATTACAGCCTTCAAAGCAGCCCTTCCCAGCCTAATTTAGTTGGGGCTCTTGGGGGAGGAGCAGAAATAGGAGGCAGAACCTTGCCAAGCAAGGTTCTGGATTATCTCCCTTTGCAAAACTAGTTTTGTCTTTTTAAAACTTACCTGGCTAGAGCATAAGGATTGCTGAAAGGGGAAAGTAAAGAAGGCAGTTTTAGCTGCATGGCCCCCATGGTGTTGAAGGGTTGGACAGCACAATGAAGGCACCGCAGAGTAAGACAGAGAAGGATGCTTGGTTTCACTGAGTGACAACCTTCACACAACTTAGCTCAGGGACAACCTCCTTGTGTCATTGCTCACTGATTGACAGTAAAGACAGACATCATGGCGACTTAGCTCCCTTGTATTCTAAGCCATCGTTTGGATTCTGGTGTTGCTAGGATGAGAACTCTAGAATTCTATTTCAAGCTATCTCTGAATCAGATCTTTTCCCTAGAAAGCCCTTTCAGTTGTGACTCGATTGGGATTCTCAGGACAGCTTGCTTATATGATCAACAACCCCAGCTGACAGCCAATCTTGCCTTCTGTGGGAGTAACTACAAACCCCTGAGCAGGGCACGAAGGGTGCAACTCTGGATGCTCCAGGGAGATTCCACAGCAGCCCTGAAAGATGAAGCATCCAAAGGACCCTGGGGAGTCTGCTTACTGCAAATCTCAAGCATCCTTAGGCAGCTCGTAACACCCCCAACATCTGTAACGTGCAGAGTTGGGAGGTTGAAGGCTGGTCCAGACACGTTCTGTCTTCATCTCTTCCAAGCCAGCAAGGAATCAGGGAATGGATCTGCGATGGTGTTCATGAGTTGCTTCCAGAGCCTTGGATTTATAAATACTGCTGAGGCAGGGAAGTTTGGCTGGTGGGCATTTCTTATGGATTTGGGGCCTTTTGAGCTTTATGTTTCATACTACAAGCAACCTGTATGGAATTGGTGATATATAAATATAGTAATAATTAGTGAATGGAGCCCCTAAGCAGCACTCGAGGGCAAGTACTATTTCCTGAGAGGCAGACTGGATCCCACAGCCATTGTGGATCACCTCATTTGCAAATGTCCTCTGCCTGCTCTTATAAGGTTTATTCCATTATTTTTGTAATTTTATTTTTGAAAATTTTGTATCTTACACAGATATCAAATATAATCTATGGATTATAATTTTTTTGGCTTCTATATACATTTTTTTGTATTATTTTTAAATTGGTTTTATAATTGTTTGCGCCCAGGAACACCTGTTTGATATAAGTGACCATATAAATTGAAAGAATAAATAAATGTTGCAATGGAGTGGGAATAGCAATTTGCATGCACATGAAACTAAAGGGGAGGCAACCTCCACATTTCGTTCTCTACCTGGTCCCAAACACAACCTCTGGAAGAATCTTGGGCCATTTTGTCTTGAGGTCCACAGTTTCTCCTCCTCCACCCTACCCTTGCGCTTCACTTGAATTGGGTGTAAAGCACTTGTGGCCAACCTCCCCTGGCCCTCCTGCTCTGCTCCTTGCTCTCTCCCATTCCTGGCCCTCGCCTTGCCTTTGCCTGGAAAGCTACGTCCCTCCGTGAGCTTTTCCTCCGCGTGTGGATTTGTCTGAACCAGGCCTGTGCGCTGGGCATGTTCCAGATCGTTTAAAGCAGCAAATAGAGAAGCAGTGTAAATCTAGAGAAAAAAATTCAGCATCCTTGTTAATTTTAATTTAAATGGGGAACATGTCACTTTTTAAACACTAAACTTAACATGGCTTTAAATCACTTGGCATGTCCATTTAAACTTCATTCTTTCTATTCATGGGCAGATAAGGATTTGCCCAAAATAGACAACAGCATAAAAATGGTTAAAAATTGTCTGAAAACAATAAATACAAAAAGATGGGACATTTATTGCTACATAAATGTTATATACATAGTGTTTTCTGTTACATTGACAAAAAAGTGTTGAACCTGTTGCTGGTCAAAAAGGTTTATCTGTAATATCTTGAAATTTGACACAGGGTACAAATTTGCAATAAACCAACATATGGAAATTGAATAACAAGATGAGAAGCAATTCATCTTGGACAAATAGCTCTTAAAATACTCCATAAGGTACTACACAAGATGCTAGAACCCTACTATGCTCTTACAATGCTATTGTAAATTTCTGACATTAATGAAGAGGTTATGGTTAAACAACCTTACATTTCTTACTACCTAATATAGTAAAATAAAGTAAAAAATTTTTTACTGAAAACATTTTTTTTATTTCAAAAATCTAGAAAGAGTAATATTTAGAATTCAACAAACTTCTTACAAGATTATTGTATAAAAGACTAGCTACAGTGAAAAATAAGCCAAATGCTCTCTCGGTTTTACAAGGGAAGCTTTAGGGTACACTGCACACATCCTGCATAGCCCAACAGAGCCAGGAATTCACCAGCCAGGAGGCAAAGTCCACTGGCTGGGGAACACTGAGGAGGCGGCAGAAAAGGGCCACAGACACTTGCCCAGGATCACTTTAGGACAGCCACTTAACAAACCAGCATATGTAGGAAGCATATGAAAGACATGTAGAAGGAAGCCAGTTAGAGCCACAACACCCTCAAAGCAATTCAAGTCTTGTGAGAGAAGCTTGCTTAGGATATCAGGGCAGTGCCACAGCGGCGGGTCTCTCTCTGGGCTGCTACAATGGAAGACAGTGTTCACGGAAGTTCAAAGAAGAATCAAAGGGGGAGGAATTGCCCAGAGAGAGGGCCTCCCTGCTATGCACTCGGCAAAGGCAACTGACCAGGAAGGAGGCAGCCTCCTTCTCCACAGGGAAGCTAGAATCGGGGCACCCTGGACTGCACTTCTTTCATCCCAGGCCAAGATTTCAACCCAGGTTGTGCTTAGGTCTGCTGGGCTTGTCCTTACAGCTCCAGGGCAATTCTAGATGGGCTTCCTCTTCACCCAACAACGGTCCCATTGGAAGCCTTAGGAGGGAGCCATTTGAGAATGCAAAAGGCCAGGGGCTGTGCATCAAGAAGAGGGCTGCCTGCTGGCCTGTGCTCCTCAAGATCAAGATACCTACCTGGGAAATACATGTCCAGAGAGAGGGGAGCTGGTACATGCCCTTGTCCCTTCTTTAAGACACTTGTAGGTATGGTGGAATGTGAAGGGTCAGTGGCATTGTGGCTTCATTCTCGAAATGCACTTCTCAATATCAGTATCTCAACCAAGCTTTAAACAGATCAATGTTTCCCTTCATACGGTGGATCTTTATAGTTCCATTACAAATAATGTTTTATAGTTACAATTCATTTGTCAATTCGGTTTAGGCACAAGGCAGTTTCCCCACCAAGTGGAGAGGAGATCAGAGTCTCTGATTGTGCTGGAGCGACAGGAGAACCGCAAGGAAGAGGAGGAGAGGTGCTGCTGTCTGTGGGGCGGAAATCCTGCTGGAAGAACAGCCTGGTGTTCTCTCTCTCTCTTCTGAGGCAACCGGCCATTTTTCTCAAAGGGCCACTTCTGGATGGGTTGTTTCTCCAGCAAGATGGTCCTGTTTAATGCTATGTTGAGTGTCCTTGTGAACAAAAGATCCCCTCTTCTTGGTCTCTTCCACAGGGTTCTGGATTCTGATCTGGACATTAAAAGGGCAATGTTGAAGCACTGACAGGTACAGGGCACAGTGGGAAAGAGCCAAGTGGCCTGGACTCTGGCTTCTGGACCGGAGGATCTGCTTCCGGTGGAGCCAGTTCTTATTCTGAGCACCATAATCTGAGGTGCCAGAGCTGCGCTGCCTCACCCACCCCCAACAAAAGCCATACACTTTGCCGAGTGTGACTGTTGCTTTTAATAAATTGTGCTGGTGATCTTGGACTAAAGTAGTAAAGGATTCCAACACACAGTCTGGGTTTTGTGATGCTGTAATTCAACTTAACACAAAGTGTAACTGACAGGGTTTTGGTATACCCTGTGTGCCCATCAACATCCATGTCAGCCCCTGCAGACATAAAAACGTCACCTCACATATGTCCCATTGGATTGGCAGTTTCATTAAGCGCTGGATGGCTTCCTGGATGGGGTGGGCGGGGGTTCTGCTGATACAACAGACCTCTTTTCCTCTTCCCTTCGCTTAAGGCAAGCTGCTTTGGGGTTCAGGTTCCTCTCTAGAAGTAATGACAGAAAGAAACAGGAAATACCTTTAAGATGCTAGCACTGGAGCAACATTGAAGTCAAGCCTATGGCTGGAGGCAGGATGTGCAGAAAATCCCTTACATGTTATGCCTCTCCATCTACACTCTTCCAAACTGCCCCCTCCCCACATGCAGTTGTCTGTGGGAACTCCTGGCTTCTGCTCTTTGGAATCTCTAGTGGGGTATGACCCATTCTTGTAGTAAACAAGGATCCTTTCTGTTTAAAAGTGCATTTTCAATGGGACGAGTTTATAGCCCACTCTTCCTTCAAAGAACTCAAGGCTTGTTTAAATGCTTCTCAACAGTCCCATGAGGGAGTCAAGCAAGGGAAGGTGACTGATGCAAAGTTACCCAGACAGTTTCAGATTAAGCAAGGATTTGAAGGTTCGGGATACAAGCTGTCACGCCCAATCCTCCAAGAGAAAGGCTCTGAAAAACTGGCAGTCTTTTTCCATAGACAGTTCCCAATTCTTACTTCTTTACAAGATCCCTGAGGCAGGGAAACAGAATAAAATTAGGTCCCTACTGCTAGCAGAAGTGATGAAATGAGTGAGATGTCAGTGCTTCAGATCCCTGAGTAGATACTGCTGATACCATCAGCATCTCATTTATATATACACCCTGGAAATGCTCAGCTGAGACAGCACCTCAGCTGATCCAGCTGGTTCCCCGGAAGAAAGAAGAAACACCCCCTTGAGTAGGAAGTAGGTGATTTTGATGTCAGCTGCATCATTTCTGGAATAAAAAAGCTTGCCTATTGGAAGTCAACTGTCATTTCAATTCCACCAAAGGAGGAGAGTATAAAGAATTTTATAACTTGACCTCTAGAAAGGATTGTTCAAATCTGAAATGGACAAAATATGGATTTGTTACTACAGATTAACTTTATTTTCAGTTGCAGCTATTGAAATCAGGCAAATCATGTAAGAATCAAAGTAATGGACTTGACAAAATGTGATTTTTTAAAAAAGTGCCTCTGTTTACAACACAAGATTCTGGGGGTAACACAGAGACGTGTGAAGATGCCCGACAAAGGCTGGCTTGGCGTCCCAAAAGACAGTAAATGCAAAGCTAAATTCTAGATTGGTTTTCCCTGTGACTATAAAATAATCCCAAAAATTAATGAATGTTCAACTTCATCCCTTCTCCCCTTTATGTTTCTATTTTCAAATACAGGCAATATTGGACAGTGTGATGGAACACTTGGAAAAACATTTGTAGTGTTAAAAATCTTGGAGAAAAAAGCTATGAAAGCATAATTGCTGAATCTGAGGCTGCCAAACTCAAGGGTGTAGAAAGGAAGCAACTTGCTCAAATCCCAGAAAATCCTGGTGCTGTTTTCCACCATCAGGAGGACCATCACACAATTCCATGATGGAACCATGCAAGCCCATGGAGGTCAGGCTTGGCCAGTCTGAAGACAACCCTAATTGTTGTGCGCAGGAGGGCTGGGCTTCGCACATCCAGATGCTAATGGTAGGCAAAGATCTATGCACTGACAACCCTGAAGTAAACTAGCCCTAAAAGATGGCAAATTATGATGTGAAGAAAACAAGTTAATAGAGGAAAAGAGAATGAGAGGAAGGCGAGACGGCTCTGGTTGGGCAATGTCCTCTTTCCCTCTTTTCCACAGAAATAACTCCCAGCCTGCCCCCCCCCCCCCCCCCCCCCCCCCCCCCCCCCCCCCC